ATATATAATATATATATATATATATATATATATATATATATAATAATAATATATATATATATATATATATATATATATATATATATATATGTATATGTATATATATGTATATATATATATATATATGCACATGTATATATATACATAATGCCACCCAAATATACTGCTAAACGCATACAAACCACATACCTGGGACGGAATGCTGAAACAAAAGACTGAATACACCGGTACTAAAGATCACGCCAAAGCTGGACCAGTCCACCCAGGTAGTTTCAGGAATATACGGAGCTGGTCCATAGTCGTGTATGTCACTGGATGCACCCAGACTCATATTTGCTACATCCAATGTCTGCAGTAACAAGAAATGGCGAAGATAATGTGTTGAAACGGGAAATTCGTGTTCCTGTGTGAGTTCTCATTTTCTAGAACTTTGTGGTTGTGCCTGTCACGGGAAGATTCCGGGCGCGTATGAATAGCAACTGGCGTCGGCAGTAGAAGGTAATGGTGATGGTAACAGGTTGAATATACATCAGGACAAAAAGAAGAAACTCGACGTTCGAGGTATACTCCTCTTGCATGTGCCCCGGTATTCAGATATGTCACTGATGGTGCTCGAGTACATACTGCCTCTAGGGACGGAGTCTGCCTTAGAATCCGATGGAGACGATTGAACTCTCCCCAGTACATAAACAGGAACGTCCATGCTACGGACCATATCCTATTTGAAATGAATTTGTATTCGTACATGTCTGGGTGAATCCAGGCTCATACTGCCTGGGCTGGTGTTAGCAGGAGAATGGGATGGACAATAACTCATAGCTCACCACCAGAATATATACAGAGAAGCCTGCGATATACTTGAGAATCTAATTATTTTTATGAAAATAAACCCTAAAACACTTAAATCGGGAGCATTTAAAAAAAATCCCCTCCGGCTGGCGTCTGCATTCTATCACATACCATTCCGTTTCTACAGAGATCGTCTATTTCAAAATCACTCGAATCCATTCCAATAACTGGACAACTACATATATTCGTATCAAATCCAATCAAATAACTCGACAACTACTTATAATCGTATTTGATCCATTGAAGCACGCACAATGCAAAGTAGGACGCACAAACATACAAGCACCATTGCATGCATGTGTGTTCATGCCGACCATTGTGTTTCTAAGGTGGGGTGGTCCATCGCCGGCAAGGTATGTACAGAGATTATTCCATGTGGTAATTGAAAGTACTCAGAGGATATCTTCATGGATAGAGCACTGCTTATATATTTCAACGATGGTAGAACAGATCAGACGAAGACCCATATATAGCCAGGAATCAACCAAATAAGCGCATCTATATATCTCAACGTAGGTAGAATCAAGCAGACTAAAAACCAGATACAGACAAATATCAACCAAATAAGCGTACGTGTGTCTAATAACCATACCTCTACAGTTGGATGGTGTATCACAGGCAGCTCATTTGACCAGGGATCGTTCCACATAGCAATCAAGGGGGAGACAATCATGATGGCAAAGGTGAAGAACCGAGCTCCGGTGAGAAAGCCCTGAGATAGTCACAATACATATTGATATCATACATTGAGTGTATATGGTTATTGAATGAGTGTGTACTGGGGGCTTGGCTTTACAAGGTAACTATCGGTCGACCATGACTACCGAGGCAAACGAACGAGCTGCGGTGAGAGATCTCTGGGCAACCAACAATATATATATGTATA